GACTACAGGTCTGGTGGTTAGAAGGTGAGTTTGGTGTAGGCGTTTCGAGTGTGGATTCCGATCGAGTTGAAGCCCTCAGACAGAGAGGCCATTTGTTGCCTCAGCCAGGAAAACAAGAAAGTGTTGTGGGAGCTGTGATAGAGTGGCCATGAAAAGCAGAGGCTGTTTCCTTGACTATTGGAGGGATCAGAATCCCATGTTCTTGGCACGGAGTGGTTAACCAGGTTGGAAATCAACCCACAGCTTCATTTGAAGAAGAAGGAAATGCCTTGTGAGGGTCCTGGTGGCTCATGGAAGCAGGTAGGCGCAGAGCCTACCTGTGCATCCTTTCTCTGACTGTGGCTTGCCTCTTCTTCCTATGGCCCGTGCCATCCAAATTCATCCTCATCACTCTCTCCCCCCTCCTTCATCTGTAAGGAGCATCCTGGGCAGTGGGTGATGGCAGCAACATCAGCCAGGGGCCCTCTGAGCTCTGTGTGAAGCAGAGAGGTATGTAGAGTGGAGAAGAGGAGGTGTGGGGCATGGATAAATCTACCACCTGCTCAGACGTCCTTTGCACAGCAGAAGCAGCACTGGTAACACCTAACACAGCTCAGTCACACTTGTCCCCATGAAGCTTGATTCACTTTTTACACTGCTGATGTAACAGCAGGTGAGTAAATGGCCAAGAGGAAGTGATAGACTCAAGCTGAGTTGTTGCAAGTCTCCTCTTGAGCTGCAGTATCAGTTGGGGCCTTCTCCCTGGGGACCGTATTTCCTTGGGAAAGGCCAAGAAGATTCTTATGTCTGGAGAAAATACTGCTTTTCTTTATAGACATTTCTCTTTAAGAGAAAGGTGTTTCAAAGAAAAGTTAAAACTCAGCATATTAAGCCTGCCTCAAATGGATCTGTCACTTTTATTGGAACTCTAATTTAATGTAGACTCATAAAAAAGTATACCTTCCCAATTTAAATATGGCTGGCTCTCATGTCTATGTGATTCCAAAACTTATGACGACAGATTAATGACTAGGCTGAAAGTCTGTCATAACTCGGTAGGATAAAGCTAATCCAAATCGACTATATGCCATGATTTTATGACACAAAGTTATTGAAAAGTACAAGAATAATTAAGTGGAAATATAATAGAGGAAGCATTTTCTGCGTTCTGGCACTGTGGGCAGAGCCTGCCACCTGATATGGTTGGTTAGAATAGCAGGTCTAGAGTAGTAACACATTTTTATGCTACTTTTTAAAGAAACTGTGGCTCAAGTAGTCCATCACTGAAATTCATTCTGAAAAAAAGCGTGACAGCTTTTGGCAGTTATAAAACAGAGGTGCCTTGTTTAACTGGGTGACACTAATTATAGGTAAGAGCTCTATAAACACACTCCTTTGTTCTCTGGAAGCTGGACAACATAGAATAAAACTCTGGCATAACAAAAATGTCATCTATAAATAAATAGAAAATAACTGCACTTGTTTAATTGAACACAGGTAAGAAAATAAGTTAGGACCACTTCAGCTTATTTTTGAAGCTTTGTTCTTTCTTTCAATGAAGCCATTGACATGGTCTTTGGAGTACCTCCGTCTGTGGCTTTCTGTGGTGTTACTGACACAGGATCAGCTGTGCACTGATCCAAGCTAGTCAGCTTCATAAACTCAAGGTAGAAATTCTGGTCCAAACCTCTGTGTCTGTTTCAGACTGGCGACAGGTACCGTGCAGATGCCTGGTCTAATGGTGACCCAAACCAGAGATAGCACCGTCACGTCAGCATTATGTCTCGCCTGAGCCAATACATCCTGGTAAGAGGCTGAACTCACAGTCTACGTTGGGTTTCAAGACAGAGGTAGGATCCTTGCGCAGGCTCTGGACCTCTCCGTGCAGACATACCAGCTCAGTTAACGCTAGCCAGATTTGCCTGCTGCGTGCCTTCCCACTGCACAGGGGAGATGTGTGCTGGGTCTTCCAACCTTTTTTACTTGGAAGTGAGAGTGGCCAAGTGTAGCTGTCTATTGGTACTGAGAGATCAGACTTTAAGAAACGGATGAGTCAATTGCCAGTATTAGATAAACTACAGGTGAGATTCACCTTTACTATCCCGTGTGTCTGAAACCTACACAAATCTCATCTATGCTATTTATCCAGACTCCTCTGTAGTTGGTGGAGGCAGTGGTGCTCTTCCAGAGGATGAATTGCCACACGAGTAGTAGACGCCTATCCTGTGTCGTGTTGCTATTACTGAACAGATTTCTAGTTACTTGAAAAGTATTGTGGGTACAACATGCTTTGTCAGTACTTTACACACCATTTATGACATCGGGCCTTAATATATTTTGGGTACTTCAGTACAAATAATATTTTAAGTGCTGCCATACTGTGTACGAATGTAGAACCGAAGAAGCAATCTCAAATGTAGAGGTGTTCAGGTTTGTGATGGGGACTGTGTGTTCTGTGTAGGTGAAGTGTGTTTGGGACAAGTGAGAGACATGCACACGGCGGAGGTCAGGGTGGCTGGTGCGGCTCCCTTGGCGGGTGCTGGGCACAGCACAAGCCCCCCCGAGCAGGCTGGGCTTTGCCCCTGAGGCCAATGTTTCATCACCCAAACGCAGAGAGAGGGAACGGGTACGCTGCTCCTGTTCAGCCTTGAAAGCCAGAGCTTAAACCATTTCTTACCACTTCTGCCAAGGGGTTGACTCCAAGCCACTGTGGAACACCCCCCTCCCTCAGATCCACCTCCCATTTCACTGTGGTTTGGAAATCCACCAGCTGATCTCGGTGGTGGTGGTGGTGAAGAAGCATGTCAGCAGGCGGTGGGCTCCTTGGACACGGTGGGCTTTAGGAGTGTGAAGAAAGGTGACTATGGGTTCTGTTTATGAGATTTTTGCAGTCTCCCTCGGGGGCTTGTTTATCGAGGGTGGTTTTCACGTGTCCTTTTATTCCAAAACCCATCCTACAGGCCAAGCTGTGTTTTAATAATTCGGGACAACATATTGTAACTGCTGTCTTGTAAGTAGCATGAACTTCAACGAACTGGGTACATTCACAAGTCGTATCAGCATCAGTCACAAGTTCAGTAACAGCACAACTGTGTCGCTGACACCGCTGCGGGCAGCGGGTAGGAATTTGCTTCCCTTCACCTTCTCCCTTCTGCCTCCCCATCCAACCGGCCGCGGCTTCCTTCCCTCCGCGGCACCGAGGAGCTGAGCCCCGAGCGGGGTGGAGGAGGGCTGAGGGGGGCCAGATGTGCGGGGACCGATGGTGCGGGGAGAGGTGGGGGGTGCGGGAAAGGAGCGGGAGCGGCGCGGGAACGGCGGGGGGTGCGGGGAGAGGCAGGGGGTGCGGGAGAGGAGCGGGGGAGCGGTGGGGGGTGCGGGGAGAGGCGGGGGGTGCGGGTGAGGAGCGGGGGAGCGGTGGGGGGTGTGGGAGCGGAGCGGGAGCAGAGCGGGAGCAGCGGGGCGTGCGGGGAGAGGCGAGGGGTGCGGGAGCGGCGGGGAGTGCGGGGAGAGGCGGGGGGTGCGGGAGCAGAGCGGGAGCGGCGGGGGGTGCGGGGAGAGGCGAGGGGTGCGGGAGAGGAGCGGGGGAGCGGTGGGGGGTGCGGGAGCGGAGCGGGAGCAGAGCGGGAGCGGCGGGGCGTGCGGGGAGAGGCGGGGGGTGCGGGAGCAGAGCGGGAGCGGAGCGGGAGCGGAGCGGCGGGCCGGCGGCAGCGGGTCCGGGCCCCTCTAGAGGGAGCCCGCCGATGGGGAATGGCCCCGGAGGCCGGGCAGAGCCGGGCGCACACTTGCGCGGCTTCCCCCCCGCTTCTTCGAGAAACTCAACGCGGCCGAGCCCCGTGCTGAGCCCCGTGCCGAGCCCCGTGCCGAGCCCCGTACTGAGCCTACCCCCGGCTGGTACAAATAGCCAGCGCTGTGATCCGTTCTGCGCCGAGGAGCAGTACCGCCGGGGCATCCTAGCCGTCCCCAAATTGGGGCTATCGACGTGACTTTAGTTCTTTGCTGGAGCTCGATACTGCAGTACGTGCCACAAAAGGCTGCTCCGAGGTGGCACTTGTGTGGAAATACTGACTTCGGTGCTGGAGTAGGTGGGTGGCAGGTAGCATTAGCAAGGAAATACATTGGGGCGTGTGCTGCGGCTTATGCGTCTCGCACGTTTTGAGCATGAGATGTAAGGCGAAAGGCCAAGTGGCTTTGAAGTACGGTCGCAGGAGTACAACTGGCAGACTGTGCCAGTGCTTTCCCGGGGTCAGAAAATATGCTTGTATTATTAGGGATGAGAGAAGAATATAGACAAAGGTATTTAATAAGTTATATAATAGGTTTTGGTTTTGTTTGTTTGTTTGTTTGTTTGTTTTTCTTTTCTTTTTAAATCTGCATTCTGAGCAGGTTTTCAGGCCTTTGCAGTCACTGTACTTAAATTACCAGATACAGATCTCTCTTTTCAGCAGACACTTTACTAAGTTTTCAAATAATGTTTATGGATATTCAGTTTCTTTTAAACTACTTACTGCAGAGCAATAACAAAATTTTAGGGTAACTTCATTATAAAACAAAGACAGACTAGGTCGTTTACTCTTAGAAAAGCTGAAATAACTGAAGTACTGGGAGATAAGCAGCTTGCAAAAAGTGTGCTAGTTAGAGCTTTGCAACATGGAAATAAACATGAAGTTTTAAGTGCCTTTCCTATATTATTGAGTAGTATATTTTAAAACTCCAGTTTGCCCTGGAGTTGTGAAGAACATTAAATACGTTGCCAATTGGAAATATGACTGTTTACTTTAAGTGGCACCTGTAAATCCAAAATTAAATAGAAAATCAAACTGAGAAGAGAAATTAATTAACTTGAAATAAGCCTGAGTGAATAAGCGTAATATCTCACTCAAATGAAAAAGCATAGGGCAAGAGCTTGTTTGCTGGAGACTTTTGGGTCTCCCTCTGTAGTTTTTAGTCTGACATTTCTAAATGGTATAAATACTTAGAAGTTCTGGGTATTTTCAGTTACTATTGTTAGACAGAAAACAAGCTCCGATTTCTTCAAACTTTATTTCGTTGAATGTGTCTGAGTCATAGGAAAAGTCATTCCATCATGTCTAGAAACTGTTTTTGTTCAGAACACTTGTCAGGAAAGAAAATAAACAAGTATTAGTTCCTGTCACCATTCGTTTCAGAACAGTTACAACCAATATAATTAGGTCTCAGATTTTTTTTTTTTTTTTTTAAAAAAAAAGGCCTGAATGAAAAGATACAGAATTGTGTGTGTCAGTTGCTGAGCATTTGGCATGAACAGCTTTTCCAACACTTGCTCTGGTTATTATAAGGTTTGAGTTGTAAATGACCGCATTCAGCAGCAAACCTGTCAGGTTGGAGAGCTTTTCATTAAATGTTTGATCTAGAAATTTTTAATCAGTGCACAAATAAAACAAATTATTAAAGCACTACATCAGCTGCAGTATATGTAATTGGGATGAACAGGGTGATGTAACTGGTAGGGAACAGCACAGGCATTCTTAACAGAAGGCCTGGAGCTACAGAACTTGTTACCACTGGAGATGAAACAGAGCCTGAGTCTTAACCTGTATCTTGAAAATGGTTAAGATGCACCTATTAAAGACATTCCCAAATAACCCGGTGATAAATCATGAGCACTGTACAGCTTTACTGGAGAAGCTGGGGAGGGATCGCCTTCTAGAATACCTTGTGTCTGTGAAGCAATGCTGGGATGGAGTGTGTGCTGAAGGCACAGCAGATTCTATTTATGAAAGGAAAAATAAGCATTTCATATTCTCGAGTTTTTACCGCTGTTCTCTGTCCTAGATGAGGACAAATCTATAAGATCTACTTTAGGAAGTTACCTAATGAAAACTATTTTGGTACTTCGGTACATTAATCAGGGGTAGTAGTTACAACTCTGCTGAAATCAATGGACCTACTCTGACTGGTGTAGTTGAGGCTCTGATACAAGTACTATTACCATTTTAGCTTAAAAACAGCAGTTCTTTTAGCTAGCCTTGTTAGTGGAATTTCTGAAAATGTCAGCAACAAGACGTTGCAACTAGGCTAACAATTAAAAGGGGAGCTCTTTTACATCTACCAGATTAAAAACCAACATCACATAATGATCAGACATAGTGTTACTCTGCACTTCTGGGCAGATTTTTTAGGGTGGCATTGTTTGACATTTATATCTAAGCTAAGATATAAAATTTCTGTTTTGGGTTTTTTGTTTTTTGTTTTTTTTTTTTTAATTTTTGTTTCTTGTCTTTGAAGAAATTAATTTAGGAAAGCTAATGCAAAAGTGTGGAGTTACATTTTGCTCTGAAGGCTGCAATAAAGCTAACTTTTCATGGCCAAAAAGTCCGCCTTATGTCACTCTAGCAGTAGCTGAGAACAAGACTGTTGCCTGCAGGTTTGTGTGCTTGAACTCAGCAGCTGAGGTACGTCAGTGAGTATTCCCATCGTCAAGCTGAGGGGTGAAACCATGCCGCCATCTGAATCACCAGAAATTTTACTGCTGTTTTCAGAGGAACCAGGCCTTTGCTTTAAACCATTAGATTTGGCAGCAGCGAGGGATCCCAGCAATCCATGTATCACAGAGGTTACGTGCCACCCAAATGCCCGTCCGCTTCGTGGTGGGCTGCGCGTACAGACTTTTGAGCATTTTCATCTTCAGTCCCAGATACAGCAGAGGTAGAGAAGCTCCAGCTCTGAGTCTGATCTGGAGCCTCACAAGCTCTGAAACGACAGGGCGAGAAATATGTCTTGAAAATACAGGATCTGTCAAGGTTCAACACAACTCTCATGACAAAAATTCAGTGAAACAAACAGTTCTGGCTCTTGGCCTCTAGACACGTACGTTAGCTAATGCTCACCGCACGGGAAGGCATCAAAGATAAAAGAAAGAATTTGGGGGCAAAACTCTTTCAGCTCCCAGACTTTAATTCTGTTATAACTGCCAGGCTTCGATGGTGCCTCCCTGCAGGGTGAGGGACCCGGAGGTGTCGAAGCACCGGCCACAGCGGCAGGAATGGTGACAGGGGGCTATTGTTAGGTGTCTTTGGCAAATGTGCCTTGAGTGCTCTATAGGACAAGGTGACTGAGAGGTTTTGTTCATTGCTTTAAGATGGAAGCTGGTTTGGCCGTGGTGCCCTGGGCCACGGGCAGCCCTACGTGCAGCTGCGCAGCCTCAGCCAGCTCGGCGGCTCCCAGCCCTGACAGAGGTGCCGAGTCTCCCTCCCACTGCGTCTTTCTGGACCTCTGTGGGGATGGAGAATGTGACTAATATAATTTTCCCTCCCTTTTAGTCTTTACTGCTCCTGTACCTTTAAAATAAAATGTTTCTTTCCCCTTTTTTTTTTTTCCCTTCTTTTTTTTTTTTTTTTTTTTTTTTTTTTTAATTTTATCCCTTGCTGTTCGAACAGCAATTTATATCCTGCGTGCCTTATCTCAGGTAAGATGAAAATAGTGGCTTCACTCCATCAGCATAATCAGTTGTGTTAATATCTCTGATTGTAGGCTTGGCTCAGAGTTTGCATTACCCCATATGGGCTGTGTCTGTGCAGGCACAGTCCACAGATACTTTTAAAAACTATCACACTTTTGAAAAAAAAAAAAAAATCTGCATGACAAGATAGTTTTTAAGAGCTGTTTTAAAACAAAAAGTTTCCTTCAGTTTACAACAGTCTTTAAAACTTATCTCAAATGGAACAACTTAGCATATTAAGTCTCATTTCTATACTGCTTTTTTTAACACACTCTAGCCAAGTACAAACTAGTGCTTATATACACTGAAAAAAGTTCCCAGTTACAGAGTGTGAAAAACTGTCATGTATTTCTCTATATATGGTAAACAAAAATATAACCAGATGCTAGCATTTGCTGTCTTTGAAGAAGGATGACTTTGGTACGGCCAAGTATCTAATAATATCCCTGTAAGCTCTGATCAGCTGTATTTCTTCTCTGATTCCCTGAAGATGTCCCCACATACTACATCTCATGGTTTGCCTGGCTATTTTCTGCTCTGCCTTCAAGCCCAATGCTTCCAAAAGAAATTAACCTCCTTAGGAAATGCTTAGCTCTCTGTTCCAAGGTTACTCTGGTCCAGAATATTTCTCTTCTAGAAATATTTAACAGCAACAGACTTCTAGACAAACATTCTCTTTGTAATTTCATTCCTGAGTCATCGGCGGCCTTGGCATTTATCTGTGTGTATATTTTAGTAACTCGCAGCACTTCTTCACCGTCTCCGATCGCCTTACCTGGTGTGTCCTGTATGTCCTCCCCAGTGGGGAAAAACCGGGATGTAAACACTGAGTCAGCAATTCATAGTAAAACTTGTATGAGCATCACCAAGTCTAGGGTTTCAGCATAACTCTTTTTCCCCTTGCGTTTCCAGCAGGCTTTTTGCCACCTCTTAGGGCTTTCCACAAACAAATTGATGTCTCAATCAGTCGCAACTGGGTTCTTTTGTTCTACTCTCCTGCACACAAGTAAGTGTTACATTTCTGTATTTTCCCAGGTATTTTTGCTAAAGAAAGCCAGCTCTAGTGCTCCATTCTAACCCCGTGATCTTCACAGCACTGTTTATTTCATGCTACCTTGTGCTGAGTGTCATCAGATCTGCTGGCAAGAGCTGTGTCGGTTTTCTCTCCTGACATTAGCTATTTATCTTTGCTACTAAAACAATACTTGGAACTGTTAAGAATTACAGCTTCAGAAAAACAAGTTCTCTCTTTTTCCACAATGCACCTGTATTTCCTAAAGGCGTTTCTAGTCAACCTCGCAGTAGTTGAATTATTTTTAGTGGTGCTGTTTGCTTAAAGGAGCTACGTAATCCATCCTGGATATTTAAGTGCATTCATCTTTTCTAGCAGCAGAGAGTATGAAAAACTGTTTTATTCCCCATTCTGATTTGTCTTCAAGCTCCGGTATGTCCATTCCAGGTATACAATTGGGGACAATGGGTACACTGTGCCTAGTTCATATGGGGGTTATTTAGGTAAAATTCCCTCGAACTGAAGGTGGGTTTTTACTGAGCCAGAAGGATGAGATTTAATTTATATGCGTCCTTGTTATTTGCTCATATAGAGCTCCCATCTACCCATGCTTCCTTGTAATTTATTGACGGGGCCTTGAGAGACTTTTATGGTGACAAATATGCTGGGAATTTACTTTTATTGTTGCTCTTATGAATTAAACACATCACTTTCAAAAGAAGGAGTTAATTTACCGTATCATTCTGTATCAGGTAAGTCTGAATTGGAATTTCGTGTCTATTTACATAACATGTTTGTTTGCCAGTGTTGCTGTTAGCTAAAGTTCAGCTACATTTGAAAAAGTGTTATTTGTAACTTTGTGTAATATGTAAGAAAAACCTTGGAGTTTTCACTGCATTTCATGTACCTTGTATTTTAGAAACCCTTTTTAATTTGCTCATCTTGAATATTACATTGCAAATGTAGCTGGCTTTAGAGAATACAGTGTGTTGCTTGATCCATGAGAGGAGCGGGTGGAGAAGAGGAAATCGGGGTTCATGCCACCTACTCTGTCTGTTGTCCCACTTCTCGATTTTCTGTCACTTTCATATGTCATTTCTTCTTTTTTATACTACTGTGCTGAAGTTTGGAGACAAATGTAACGCATTGCAAAATAAAATACGTGACTTGCAAATATATATGTCTTATTTTCTTGCTTTATCATCTAAGATTAGTGAATGTCTACACTTAGGAAGTTAAGATATTTGAATATTTCTTCTTTTCAACCAAAGAACAAAATGTGCAAAAGAAACTTGCAAAAGTAACAAGCAAATAATTGAGAAAGAGATGAAGTTAAAACCGATGTATTTTTTTAATGTCAAATGTGGAACATGCTTCGAAAATCCAATCTGGAACGCACCTACGTACAAATGCAAGTTTTGTAAATGTTTTTCTAGGAGTAACTAGGAGAGGCATTAATGCCCGAGTCTCAAGCCTCCAAAATATTTGCAAACTTCTCCAAGTATTTTGCTGTAATTTTTTTCCAGTGTAGTCACTCATTGGACCCTGCTACATTTTAATGATTGATTACAGACACGGGATGAAATGTTGGCCCCAGTGAATCCATGGGAGTTTTCCTATTGACTTCAGTAAAACCAGGATTTTACCCATGGATTTACAACAGAAAAATGCAACAAACATGATTCTGTACTTCAGCTAAAATAAAACCCATGACATGTTCTGTGTTACAAGAATGAAAGCAAAGCTATAGCCTTTCTAAACATGGTTTTGTGCATCTATAAACTTTTGATTAAATGAATGTTTTTGCACCTGTTGTGGTAAAAGTAATAAAAAGTCAAACTGCTGTTGTTGTTTTGGTATGTGTATCTAGTTTTATAATGCATACAGCAGTAGTTCATCCTAAATTAAAAAATTGTAAGTTAAAGGTTTTTTTCATACACTGGTAATACAATCTCTCTGTCACATGTGAAAGTACCATGTAATTTATATAGTTATTATATCAGCAGTATATTATGTAAGTTCTTAGTGGCAGATGAGGTTTAGTAGTGTGGATTGATTTTTGTTTTACTTATGTGATTTTTAATAATTTTAATCTCAAAAAAAAAAAAGTATTTTAACCCTTGAGTCGCTGTGGCTTCTTATTTCTTCTTGACAGGGCTGCGCTTTACATGTGTCTACACCAACTCACACTAAAAAGGCATTATTAACTTTCTTTACTGATGTTTGTGTGAAATGCTGGCAGTGCTGCACAGTGGCCAACACTTTACTCCTCCCGCTGCACTGTCACAGTTATGGACTTTGCAATTACATGGGAACTACCGGAGTTAGTCCTCATCATCCCCCTCTCAGCTATTTGGCTAGAAAATGAGACAGAAATTTGACTCTCCATGCACACAGCCTAACTAAGCAGCCTATGCAGAGAACTTTAAGATAGGTTATAAATCCACTAACTGTGGGGAGGCTCCATTACAGCTCCTCTGTAGCCCTCACCTGCGGGCTAGAAAATGAGCCCCTGACAGTCTACACCTTTACCCTTGATCAACATAACTTGAATTTCTGTGGGACATCTTTGTTAGGACAGCTCATGCATTTCTCCTCCTCTCTTGGGCTTTCAAGCATATTGATGTGATGGTGTTAGTAGAAGCATTTGAAATAGAATACCTGCGGATTCTCATGCAAAATATTTTCCCCCTTTCTGTTTCCAGCAGCGAAAAATTCAAAGTGCGTCCTATGAAGGTGTGAATGAGCCATCTTTATAGCACAGCACATTTAAAGGAGGAAGAGCAACCTTTGTACCTCCAGTGTTCTTGACATCCCCAAGAAGAGAACTGGTAAGAGAGTCTGTTAAAAAAAAAAAAAAAAAGTTAATTGCACTTACAATATCTGTAAGATCTTTTTGCCACATGCCCCCACGATTTGTATGCATAAATACAGCTGTTATGTTATTCCAGTCCATCATCAATCAGAGATGGGACCAAATGAGTCAGATTAGAATTTGTAGAGGAATTTGCATTTTTTTCCTTCTTGCTTAAATATGTTTTCTAAGTTAGACTCTCTGAAACATACAAAAATGTCATCTCTTTCAGCTCTTCTCATTCTGCTCCTAAGACTAAAAAACAGAACCCAAACAACAAAACCCTGACCCCAAAGTCCAAACAGCAAAAATCTATATAAACCTCCGTATGTGTCTGACTGGAGCTATACTCTACAAAAATATGTGTATCAGATCAGTCTTCCATATTCATTCACTAAACAATTAAATTATAACGAGGAGTATTCCAACAAGCACAACATCAAAAAGGGCAAATTAAATATAAAAGAAGTCATGCAGGAGCTCTATGGGGGAATAACAATGTGAATGATTTTGTGACCTCATACCAAAAAAGCATGAAATAATGGTGTCCAAGTATGGAAGAAACAAACTGTTATTTGAATTGTTGTGGATATAGAAGGAAATACAAAGTCTCTCTTTTCTGTCTCCCTGGAGTAGATCACATGGCACACAACTATGATGAAGAGATCCTTCGGGGTATCTGAGATCAGACCCACTGGTGAAACCATTGCATACCCATTTGTGCACAAGAGGTGAGGAGTGAAGTGGTGTGTCAGAGCTGAGAGAAGGTGAGTGCTCAGCACAGGCATCAACCACCAATGCATGCTGCGATCTGGAGGAGAGGAGGTTGGACAAACTCTGTGTGCTCTCTGGCGTACTGGGATCCCTCATGAACAAGAGAAGCAATGAGAAAAGAGGGGAAACAACCCTCTGTCTTGCAGTTCTGGGCCTTCTGTGCACCCGGGCTGTTCTCACGGGGTTAAGGAGGCCAGCACACACCTTTCTGCATGGATTAGCTTCCGTCTGGGTCTTTAATGCAGGAAGGACTGTGACTCTCCATTCTCCTGCCCATTCTTTTTCTATGTCACAAGCGTAACCCATGGCTTTTCTTAAGTTTACCAAGAGTAAAGAGAAACATGGAATAAGACTGATTTGGGCAACTTGGGAAGAGCTAAAAGCCATCATTTTCAGTGTTGCTTAAAGCTCAGTTAGATTTACCTGATCAACACCTCTTTAACGCTGGTTAAAAGCCTACAGGTCTAGAGTGAGCCTTCTTCCACCAGCTAGCTTTATTGCTTTTCAGCAGTAATACACACTGGTTTTGTCCTACAGACAATCAGCAGTTTAGTTCAGACAGGGGAGTTTGGCGTGAAGTGGCTTGATACGTCACAGGTAACCTTCCAGAAAATGGAAAAGAAATGCCAACATTTCTGGGCTGTGGCTTCTGCAGCATAGACGTGGTGAAACACAGATAGCTCCTGTTTGATTCACCCACATTCAAGGCACTCTGCCTTTGCAGATAAATGCTGTCAGAGAGAACATGAACCCCTTGATAGATCCATTTTCAGTGTCACACAGTATCTGTAGGAGTGCTGGAGTCTAGAACATCATTCAGAAGTAGGAGAGAATTAAGATTTCGATTTGATGTTGTAAAACCCAGGAGGTACTACCGGGCATCTTTATTTCCAGAAAAAATGGAACTGTGGCAACTAATACTGTTACAGGACCAAGTATCCTCCCGTGTAAATCCATACTATAGACGTATGCAGAAGAAATAGGACCCTTTAGCCTTCCCTCTCAAAGCATTTTTTTTTGCATTGCACATGCTCCTTCTGAGACCCGGCTCCCTTTATGTCACCTGCTTAAGACAGAGGAATGTCATTAAGTAAAGGTGAGACTATCAGATGAATGAGTGAGGAGATGTACTTAGAGCAAAGAAACACAGATGTGACTTGCTTGGTATCCCACAGGACTGTTTCACATCCTTGAGACGTATCACACTTCCTTTCCTCTCCAGTCCACTGGAGAAATGACACGGTTGAACAGGAACATTGCTTACCGCTTATATTTCAGCTAATAGGAGGGGTTTTTTAATGTTGAATACTACTTCTGGTTAACTCTACTTATTCTCCAATCTCTGTCTCAGCTTTAAGACTAATCTGGTACTTCCTAGTGAGCCCCTGAAACCATAGAGAGTACTTGGTTCCCTTTATTCATATCCCTTTCAGTCTTACTAAAATAAGTAGAGGTGAGATCTGAACAGAGGTGTAATAATTAAGTGTTGCATAAACCCACCAGATTTACATTTGTTAAGAATATCACTAGGATTATTATACATTAAATACCATAATTTGTACCCCCTTTTAAACTATCACCATGGATTAAAGCATATGTTAAGATCTAGAAATCAATTTCTTCCCTTACCATTTTATGCCTAAGGCTTCAGTTCTGCGTGACTAGTATAGATCTTTACTAAGGAGAAAAGAGTGCTGAATGACTTTTTTCTTACCTTTTGTGGGTAGTTTCACATGATAAATGTGAAGATCTGAAGTTTTAGTAGCATGTAAGGAGGTGAATAAATTACTGTTCGATTAGACTAAAAGATATTGCTGAAAAGTACTTGTAACGAGATAATTGCAAGTGCCAAAGCTGAGAGTACCACTCAATGCTGGCAGCAGCTTAGTTAAACATGTGGTTAATGATGTTATAGGAAGAACAAGTATGTAAAATATTCAGCTGTGCCAGCAGTAAATATTAATTTTATGTGACAGCAATAGTGTCTTATTGAGACTGATATTTGACATACAAAACTCCTATAATTATTTTAATATCTTTACTTCCCAATGATTTTAATGATATGACAAAGATTTTAGGTGTTTGCTGAAACAGCAGTACTGTCATTTACTATCAATCAAACAAAATGTCATTCTCATTTCACTGCTAAAGTCTTGGTAGTTTTCATACCAAGTAAGCTTCTGCTGTAGAGAGTATGTTCTTCTTTTGGGGTTTTATACCTAAAGAATAAAAATGACAAACACCTATCTGGAAAACATTTATCAGAAGATATAACACATATAAATAGGGATTTTGCTGTCAGAAGAAAGCAGCTTTATAAAAGCCTGAGTATAAAACCAGAAAAGCAGCATTTGGCTTTCTAGCCTTAAATTAGTTATGAAACAACGTTACAGATAAAACAGGTAGTGCTTCATTGTAGTTGATTGCTCAGTACTTTTCATTATAAGTTTCTTCAATCACTTAAAAACATTGCCAAGTTTTGAACCATTCAGGATGGAGTTTTCCATGCCAGGTGCCTGCCCTAGGCAGGAGTATTTTGGAAAGCTGCTTCCAAAATTCAATCATTCCAGAAACAATATTCCAGAAAAGTTTCCTTGCCTAATACTATCCGTATCTCACAAGGGGTTTTTTGCTGGGAACACATAGTGCTTTTGGAACAGAATCCTGAAGTTCTGCAGAATGATCATCTCGCTGTCACAGGAGGTGTCTTTGGCTAGCCTCTCAGATTTGCCCAAATTTGTCCCCCATATAGAGCACGTTCTCAAGTTACGGCTTGTCAGCGGAGCTGTGGTAACTGACTCAGTGTACATTCCTCATTTGCTGGGTAGAATATGCTAATCTAAACCACCTTTATAGGAGTTCATATTAAGGAGTTCTTCAGTGACAACACACAAGCAGAGATCAGCTCAGCTTGAAAGCAGCAACTTTGCAGGTGGGGGAGTTCCTCTTGTCCTATCATCATCCCACAGTTTGCATCAAGAAAGAACGAACTTGGCAATTATGTTTTCTCGGTGCCTTTCTCTGCTCGGTGTCCTCAGGCTGGAAGGATCAACACAGTTTCTCCTCTGTGAAGTGCCCAACAACCAGGCACTGAAGTGAACACAGGACGAAACAAAGCTGCATCTCCCAGTGCTCCTTTTCACATCCCCATTCAGAGATCAGAGCGGTTGCCTTAGGATGGAGAGAAGGTTGGAAACAGGCAAGAGGAGAGTGGAAAGCGAGAAGGAAAGAGCTGGAAGAGGAATGAGAGCAACAGGACCTGAGGGTTACAAGTGAGGCAGAGGTTGGGCATGGGGGAAAGCAACAATATGTGACACGTATTGCAGCAGATTTAAACCTGAGAGGAACCGTTGAGTCTATTCTGTACTCATTCCCCCCCCAGGACTACAGCTCATTTCAAGAGTCTAGAGTCTTCCCTCAGGACCTGAGACTCATTTCAGGAATCCAGCTTCTCTCTGCTCTGCTGTCAGCAAAAACCAGCGTAACCACCATCAAAGCATTTGTCACCACCCTCCCAGTGGCAGACACACACAAACCGCTGCTGCAAGCTGCCTGTCTTTTCAAGTGGTAGAGACCTGCCCAAATAGGTACGTGGCGCGTAAAATTACTGATCTGACTGATGTGGCGGTCCTGTGCATCCTGCCTTTAGGATGTCTTTCTGCACAAAACTCTGGACGGGGCAGAAGGACACGCACAACATCCATGTCAGGAACTTCAGGCAAAATTTATTAAATTAAATAACCCAAACTGGATCTGCTTATTTACTCACTATACTCTGTGAGCAAGTCACATAGGGTCTACAATATCCTTCATAAGAAAGCATCACCACTAGATTGATAACATAAAATGTTAATTTTATGTTAAATAAAAACATATTATATAATATATATTATATATTATTATATTTATAATAAATAATAACTAATAATTACGTTACGGCTAATACTTCACTTAGCATTTTGTTTGCTTCTATCTATGTCAAATTTGCCACACAGGTACCTGGGGAATCTGGGCCCTGTTATCCTTAACTGGCATCTGAATTCTCTCTTGCCCATTCCAGTTTGGTCTCATTGAGAAACCTGGAGGAAAAATGGCTGCGCCCACCCCAGGAAAACCCCTCGATCAGCCACAGTCCCAGCTGCATGTCCATAAGACCTGTGAGTACATAAATTGTATGGTGAAATCTCAGTGAGAGAC